AAACCAGAAGGCTGAAGCAGAAAGATCACGAGTTCCAAACCAGCCTCAGAAATTTAGCAATCTTCAGTAATGAAGTGAGACCCTGTTTGAAAATAAAAAGGACTAGGGATGCGGCTCAGTGGTAACATATCCCTAGGTTCAATGTCARTACTACCAAAGGGGGAAAAAAAAAAAAAAAGACCCTCTCTCAGAATGAAATCAGAGTCTGGGGATGTAGCTCTGTGGCAGAGCACTTGCCTCGCATGTTCCAGGGCCTAGGTTCAACTTCTTGTGCCACAAAAGACAAGAGACAAGCAAATAAATAGATGGAAGTGATCAGGGCTCTCTGATGGCCAATTTGAGCAAAAATTGGAAAGTGAGACAAGATTAGAACCACCGAGGCTTGTCTGTTGTGCAACATTTCTAGACGCATGGCTTCAGACAGGCAGAGAGCGAGCAACACAGAACTGGGACCGAGGGGAGGGTGGAGGGAGAGGCTTGCCTACGTCTCCCTGGACTAAAGAGATCCCACACAATCCTCAGATGACATCTTGGAACCATCCACAGGTTCCCCTAGCCCTGACGACTAGCCCATCCTGCTATTTGTCCAGGTAGAGAATCTCAGGATGATATAATGCTGGCCTCAAAATCTCTATGGGACAGAGAATCTGTACTCTGACGAGGGTGCGTATCACAGTGATTAACAGTGATGTGACCTCAGCTCAGAACTCCTGAATCCCAATCCCAGCTCCATCATTTCCCAGCCGAGTGACTTTGGCCTTAGATTCCTCAGCTCTATGGCTCTCTTTCAGAGGAAAGTTACAGGATCATTTTATCCCAAGGCCTGGCAAATAGTGAATGCTCAATTAGTAGAAGGTGAGATTATCAGAATAACAGCTTAGTAGTTGGAGCTCCCACAATCCATTCTAGGTAACTCTCCACTATCCAGATAAAGAAAGGAAGGGACTTGCTCAAGATGGATTAGCTGCTCAGTGGTGGGTCTCCATAGAACCAGAGCCCCTAACTCTCAGGCACTGGCCATTCCTAGAATAAATACTCTTAGCACATCATCACATCTGGGTTTCCCAAGTACCCAAGACCCAGAGCTGTTATTTTCTGGAGGATGATCTGCTTTCCCCTCCCCATGTCTTTGACAAGACCTCCCACACTTTCTAGTCCCCATTAGTCACACGGGGCCTCCATGCTGTTCCTCACACCAGGCTACCATCCTCCTGCCCCAGGGCCTCACTCCTTGACGCTCCCACCACCTGGAAAGAATGATCTCCCCTGCATCTCACTCGATTCAGAACTCGGTTCAGACCTACCTTACAGTACAAAACAAAAACACCACGGAATGTACTTCCGATAACTCACTGGAGCAGAGGAAAAGGCCAATAACAGAACCAGCTTGGTTCAAGTTCAAGGTGTTCTCATTGGGTGACAGGTACTAAGGAGTGCTTTAAACTGGTTTTTTTTTTTTAATTTGTTTGAAATTTTCTAAAATTAAAAAAAAGTTGCTTTTAAAAACTCAAATCATTACACTAATCTGTTTTGCATAAATTTAAATTTTTTCAGAATAAAACATTTTTTWAAAACTCACCTTCTGGAGCTGAGGGTGTAGCTCCATGATAGAGYACATATGTAGTTAGCATGCTGAGCATATGTGAGACCCTGGGTTCAATCCCCGGCACCCCCTATAATCCCAGTGGCTCAGGAGGCTGAGGCAGGAGGATCACAAGTTCAAAACCAGCCTCAGCAATTTATCAAGGCCCTAAGCAACTCAGCAAGAGCCCGTCTCAAAAATTTTTAGAAAATTAAAATAAAGGGGCTAGGGATGTGGCTCAATGGTTAGGTGCCCTTGGTCTAATCTCTGGTAAAAAAAAAAAAAAAAAAAAAAACTCACATTGTTCACTATTCTATTTTCATGTGTACTTGAGAATTTTCTAAAATAAAAAAATTGTTTAAAGCCCCATTGGATTTCTTCCTAGACCATCCGTCAGCTTGCCCATCACCCCCTGCTGCTCTCACCCCTTACCTTGTTTTTATTCTTCTTATCACAGACACATTATGTGTTTTTCTTTTTTCTATTTCCACCAAATAAAGTGTTAGCTCCATGAAAGCAAGAACTTGCTTTCTTCCAGTCAAAATCCCAGCAATCGTATCAGTGCCTGACGCACAGGATTGAAGAAATCCCATTTTACAAATTAGGAAACTGAGGAGCAGCTGATTTAGCCATTTGCTCTAAGTCAATGGTGTGGCTAGAGTTAAATGTTGATCTTGGCCCTCTGTCCTCCAAGACCTGGGAGCCTATCACACACACACACACACACACACACACRCACGCACGCACACTCACTCACACACACACATGTGTGACATTACCTGGTGGCACATGACCCAGGACCAGGAGAGCCACAGTGAGTAGTAGTAGCTGTGCCATGGCTACAGGACTCCTGGGGAGGCTGCTGGGGAGGACTCAAGAGGAGAGGAACAGTGGTTGAGCCTGGCTGCCTGCGGAACAGCCTTTATGGACCACAGATGAAGGCAGGGCCGCGGACAGTGGTGGGAGTATGAGGCCATGTTGTCCAAGGCTGCTTGGGATCTCAGCCAGCTCTGTGGGAACCGGTCAGCCACACCCTCCAGAGGCTGCTCAGCTCTGAAGCTGGGGGCTGAAGTTCCTGAAGCCATGCCTGGGGACAGAGACTGGACACCTTCCTTGTATGGGTGAGTGAGAAAAGCCATCACTTGAATCAATCCCAMGATCTCCCCCTAGTGTCTGGGAGACTTTGGACAAGTCACTTAACCTCTCTGGGACCCCAGCTGTGGTCTATGAAATGATGACGAGCCTCTTTTACAAGGCTTATAAATGAAGGTGTCCCTTCCTAGTGGCCAGGAGAAAGGACCAGAACACCCTGGCCCATTCAAACAAGCAGGCATTGACACCTACTCTAAAAATGGGAAGAAACCTGCCTCGTAGAGAGTAATAGCTACCCATCTCACTTATGGCATTAAATGAAACAATACATGATTCTCAAAATGTGGTCCCCAGCCAGTAAGTACCTGGTCTGAACTGGAACTTGCAAACTCTCCGGCTCTGCTCCAAACCTCTAGGGGGTGGGTCCCAGGAAACCACAGCTTAAGAAGACTTCCAGGCGATTCTAACGTACCACTAAGGTATGAGCACCACTAAGATAATATACATGCCTAGAGCCTGGAGTCGCGTCTGGTAGTCAGGTATCCAAGCTGCATTGTGAAAGATGAGTAGGGAAAAGGGTATCCCAGGCAGAAGGGACGGGGAGCACCAGAAAGAGTGGGTGGAGCAAGGCTCTGTTGAGAGGAGAGGCTGAAATTGACCCTGCAGAGGACAGGAGCGAGGGCACAATGGACCTTGAATGCCAAGTTCAGCCTTTTGTATTTTCGACAACCCTAAGTTCTTAGTGGGGGTATAACCTGTTGAGGGTACAGTTTTAAATAAAGAAACTGAAATCCAAAGAGGGGAGTTGACTTGACTGCGGTCACCCAGCAACTGAGTTGCAGAGCTGGCCTGGAAGCTAAGTCATCTCACTCCCAAATAAGGAAGGGTGGTGTCTTACCACAGGTGGGAAACGGAGGCCAAGAGGGTCATGCCTAGGAAGGAAGCCAGGCATGAGGGGTTTGGTGTCTACCCAAGACTTGCGGGGGCTGCTGTAGGAGTTGTTCCAAGCTGGACAGCTGAACCCCTCAGCCATGACAAGTTCCACCCACAGGTACAGCCTGGTCTCCAAGGTCTCCCACACATATGCACCCCAAAGAGTTACAGGAAACCAGGCACAATGGCACATACCTGTAACCCCAGAAACTTGAAAATCTGAGACAGGAAGATCACAAATTACAAGTCAGCCCAAGAAACTTAGCAAGATTCTGTTTCAATTTTTTTTGGGGGGAAGGGGTTTGAAATCAGGGACACTCAAYCACTGAGCCACATCCCCAGCCCTATTTTGTATTTTATTTAGAAATAGGGTCTCACTGAGTTGCTTAGTGCTTAGCCTTTGCTGAGGATGGTTTTGAACTCGAGATCCTCCTGTCTCAGCCTCCTGAACCGCTGGGATAACAGGCAAGCAACACCGAACCCAGTCTCAAATTTCTTTAAAAAAAATAATAATAATAAAGAACTGGAGATGTAGTTAGAGGGATAGAGCAGTAACAATCTCCAGTAACACTAACCTAGACACACACACACACACACACACACACACACACACACACACACACGGCCCCACAGCCAACTTCCCTACCAAGATCAGTGACTCTCCTCCTCCAACATACCTGGGGAATTTTGTTTGCCTTGTTTTTAAGCCATGAACTATTATGGAAAGGGACAATAGGCTGAAAGGCAGAGTCCCAAGCCCAAGTAATCCTCAGCTGGTGAATAAGCAAAGAAATGAATGACAGCAAAATCAGATATTCAGAAATCTTCAATACAGACTTCCAGAACTCTCTCTTCCCCCAAGCGTTTCCCAGCATTAATCCTCCCTCCAAAACAGAGTTTCTCCAAGTGGAGTGCAAGAACGATCTGCATCAGGATGTTTTTGGGAGTTTGTTTAAAACATTTATTCCAAAGCTGGGATGTAGCTCAATGATAAGAGTTGCTTGACTAGGGTGAGGCCCTGGGTTCAATTCCCAGCATCCCAGAAAAATAAATAAAATAAAAAGATCCCCGAAACCCTGGGACCTACGAAACTGAACCTTTACCAAGCGGCGGAGTGGATTTTGTGAAGGCTGAAGTTGGTGCCCCGCACTGATGGATTGGACCGATGSGGACGCAGAGGGGCATCCAGGCCCTTCCTCTCTCTTGTCGGCTACCCCGACACTGTCACCCCGACCTCCTGCAGGCCTGGAAGCGGCGGGTCACCAGGGGATCTGCAGTCTTAAAAACGCAGCGCGGCCCAGGCTCGGGGCGGGGACCCCGGGGCTCCCTGCCGGGGCGGGGCTGGACGGGGCGGGGTCGCGCTCCTCCCCGGCCCGGGGCGGGGCGGGCCGGCCCGAGGGGCTGCTCGCGGAGGCGGGCGGTCCAGCCTGCAGCACCCAGCGGCTGAGGCGGCGGGGACCCGGACCCCTCCCCGGCCGAGGTAAAGCTCCGCGCCGCCCGCGGACAACTTGCCCAAGTTGGAGCGGAGTTCGCGGGGCGCCTGCTGGGGGGGTTCTGCGGAGCCGGCGGGGGCCGGGGAGCTTCGAAACCGCGTGCGGGGTGCGGGTCCCCAGCCCTGGGGCCGGGAGGGTCCGGGAGCCGCCRACCTGGAAGCCCCCTGCCCCGCGATCGGGGCCCTGACACCCGGGACCCCGGGCTGGGAAAGCTCGGACCCAGCCTCTGAAAATGGCACATGCGTTCCCGGGCCCTGTGGRCTCCCCGCCTGTCCCCCGCCTGGACCCTGTCCTGTCACCAAACCTGGGGCCTGGCGAGCTCGCAGCCCCCGCCTTCCAGCAACAGCTGGAGGCCGTAGCGCCAGCCGCTCCTGAATTTTTCACGCTGGGGGCGGGCCGGACACGCCGTTCCCATGACACCAGGGCACTCGGGTTACAGCCGGAGGGATCCCCCGGCCCCCCTCGCCCTTCTGGGGCACCGACCCCGTGGGATCCGGCAGCKGAAGTAAACCCCCCAGCGGCCCTCAACCCTCCTGGGCACCCCCAACCCAGAGCGTGTGGAAGAGACCAGTGGGAACAGGGCGGATGACGGCTACTCGGATGCCTTTCGTACCAAGGGTCTCAYGTTCTAAAGGAGGGGCAGGTTGTGCCTGGAGGGGTGCAGGTATGGACATCCACCTAGCTGCGGTCTGTCACCTGGGGTGGGCCATCCTTAAGGCATGGGGCATGGCCTCTGGGTGTGCACGTTCGTGTGTTCACAGCCTGCCGACTCACCCCTTCCAGGTGACCTTACCCTGGGCCTGAAGCCAAACCCCCACTCCAAGGAGCAGAGGTGCCGCCTCCCGTTCAAACAAGARAGGACTGTGGGGGAAGCCTTCTCAACCGCTCGTCAGGACCCTACAACAGAAAGAGGGGCTCAGAGCAACTGCCCATCCCTACTTCATTCAGGGGGAAGGAAGAAGGAGTGGCCCTTCCCTCCCAAGGATGACATTGAACACCCAGCAGGAAGCAAAGACCCCCCTTCGACGGAGAGCCAGCACTCCCCTCACCTTGTCATCCCGGGGCCACCAGCCTGGCCGCCTCTGCACAGCAAGCCCCAGTCAATCCCAGCATCCCCGATTGGGCCAATCATTCTCCCTCAACCCTCCTGTCCGGAAACCTTCACCTGCCCCAGATGGTTGGTCCTCTGAATCCAGCGACTCRGAAGGCTCCTGGGAAGCCCTCTACCGAGTGGTGCTGCTTGGAGATCCTGGCGTAGGGAAGACCAGCCTGGCCAGCCTCTTTGCAGGGAAGCAAGARCGGGACCACCATGAACAGCTGGGAGGTAGGGGCCTTGTGGGGTGGGGTGGGATATGGCCAAAAGAGTGAAAGGCCTGTCACCAGGGGGCAGAGGGCTGCCAAGAACAGTTGTAGGAGTCATGCACTGTTCAACTCTGAGCATCATTTACGCAGACTATGAAGTGAATGATGCTCATCCGGATTGTGCAGGAGGCAACCTGCATGGTGGTCTAAAGGAGGGAAATCCTTAAATAGAATGAGAAAATTTGCCAAATTTTCATGGATGAGACGTGTATGATTCATCTTCTTGTCATAAGGGGGGGGGCAATTCGGAAAACTGTCAAGAAATGGTGGACTTTCATCCAACTCAGAACTCCCATTCGGAAGTCCCCCTGACTCTCTGATGCCCCAGACCCATAGACACCCAACGATGGCCACCATGACCTACAGCAAAGTCTCTAAAGTGGAGACTCCCAGATCCCCAGAACTGGGTTGCTTTATTCCCAAGAAATGCAGTGAGCTCACAGGGCCAGGGGACCCAGGATGACTGGATATGGGGACAGAGGRAATGAAGACAGATCCCTGAGGGACTGGTTGGGAGGACATAGAGTGAGTGAGGAGGGGGTTTGTTAAAAGCAGAGAAGAGGTGGGGACAATCTGGCCCTGCTGTTTCTGCAGCCTCAACACTCCTTAGAGTGAGAACTCACACAAGGGGCATATAGACTTACACCTGCATGTGTTGTGAATAGGCCCAGAGCTTAACATGACCTGCCCGATGCACATGCTAAGTCAGAGACTGTGGGGCCAGGAGGGTTCCCAGCCCAGCTTTAACCCCACCACCCCAACCTTTCAATCCACCACACTTTGACCCCACCACCCACTCATTCAATCCACCATACCAACCTTCCTGGCACATACCACGTGCCAGGTACTATGCTGGCAGCCAGGGAAGCATGGGCTCCTCATGGAGTTTCTTGATCTACCAGGAAGGACACACCAAATAAGTGTGGTGAGCACTCCCAAGGAGAAGTGGAGGGGTGATGTGACCAGAAAGGGGGGCTAGGGAGMCCCACATCTCCCAGGCCGGCCCCTCCTCCCTGAGATACAGTCTTCCCTTGGTTGCAGAAGATGTGTATGAGAGGACCCTCACGGTGGATGGCGAGGACACCACACTGGTGGTCATGGACACCTGGGAGGCCGAGAAACGGGTATGGCACTGCAAGCAGGACTTGGAGGACAAGGTGCTGAGCGTCACACCACACTCTTATTCTCACCTGGGACATACAAAGCAGGGTTTGGGGCAAGGGCCATTCTGAGCACACTCCCCCAAAACCTACAGCTCCTAAACAGCCTTTCCAAAGACAGAGATCCTCACAATCCTGATCCCTTCTCTCATTCCGTGGATCCTCTCCTGGCACCYACCCCAAGATGTGCTTCTCCCCTGCAGGCCTCCCCAGCATCATGACCAGCCTCACCCCACCCACCTACTCACACAGTGCAGGAGAAGGCAGGCTGCATTTGGCACCAGGATGCCCAAGGTTGAAGCCCCCTTTCTTTTACCTACTAGTTGTATAGCTTTGTGCAAGTGACTTGCCTACTGTGACCTACAGTTTTCTTCCCTGATGAATGGTGAATTGTTCCAGACGTTCCTGTCATTCTGTCTTCCTCAGCTGACTTCTGTTGTTGTTGTTGTTGGGTGGATTTTGGTGCTAGGGATCAACCCAGGGCCTCGATTAGGCAATATGCTAAGCATGTGCTCTACCCCTGAGCTGCACCTCCAGCCCCATCATCAGCTGATTTTAAAACTTCCTTAGGCAGTTCCAAGAGGTGAGCCTAGTCTGGAACATGAAWAATAAATGCTGAGCAGGGTGGAAAATTGTATGTGATAATTCTTATAAGTTACAACTAGGTAGCTAGTGAAAAAGAAAACCAAAGGGATCCTTCCTACCCACTTCCAAAGGAGGAAATGGACAGCAAACAGGGACATGTCTCTATTATGACTTTCCTATCTTCTTGGGGTTTTATATGGTAATACATGCCTATTGTTGACCTTTGAGGAAATACATGTAAGCAAAGAGAAGGATCCAAAAGTCATCTGAAATCCGTCTTCTTAAAGGGTAGAACSTTTCCTTAACTCTCAAGGAGGCTCCACCCTATGGTAGTATTGAGTGATTGACTAGAATGGTGGCCAGTTCCACCCATAGGCCCAAAGAATGAGAATGAAGGCGCTAAGTGGTCAATTTCTCTTAACAAGCTTAAAAAGTAGTGCAGGTCCAAATGAGCATAATAATGATGATTCTTACAATGACAGCTGACATTTATGGTGCACCCTCTTTCACTGGATGTATGACATTCAGGCAAAACCAAAAATATACAGTTAGGATTGATTCTCATTCTACTGATAAAGAAACTGAGGCTCAAAGAGGTTAAATCAGGTGTCCGAATCTCTGAAAGAACAGATAGGATTCCAGGCCAGATCTATGCGGCTCCATAGCCTGTGCACACCAGGACTGCCCCTACCTGTGTCCCTCGGGAGCACCATCTTCTGAACCTTCAGCTCATTCATTCATTCTAAAGCACTTAGTGGGTGTCCGTCATGGGCCAGGTGCTGGAGATGCAGCAGTAAACCAGGCAGACATGGCCCCTGGCCTCAAAGAGCTCACAGGTGGGTGACTGCAGGTCTATTTTTGGATGCAGTTGAGGATTCCCTGGGCAGGGTCCAGTGAACGAAGAAGAGGGGTCAGAGAAGGAGCACTGCACTGAGGACAAGGGGGAGAGGTTACTGGGCCAGAAAGCAGAAACTGGAAATCTGCACCCAGCTTGCTGTGAGGCCTTGAGAATGTTTTCTCCTCTTCTCTGGACTTTTGTTTTACTTTTCTATCCATAAAATAAGGAAAGTAAACCAGTTTCCCCATTCAGTGCCTGTGAAGGGAGTTCCCAGAGCAGGCCCAGCAGTAGTAATCTATTGGAATAAGCACCTGTCCTTTCCACTCTGGGCTGGATGGTACTCTGATGTCAACAGATAGAATTGGACAGAACAGTAGTGCCCTGCGTTGGCTGACTATCTGATCAGCTGGAGAGGATTAAAAATCAAATTCCTAAGCTTCACCCCTAATGAATAAGAACCTCCAAAAGTAGGGTCTGGAATCTATATATTGAATCATACTCCCAGTTGCTTCTCACCCACCAATCCATGCACCAACTGGCTATTGGTGATCACCTGTCAAATCTCCATAAATATTTGTATAATGAATAAATGGTCAAGCCCCACCCTCTCATCCTACAGATGGGGACAGGGACCTAAGGGAGGAAGGAACCCATCCATAGTCAAGGTTGAGAACTCACCTCACTTGGGACTCTATCCCAAGCTTACTTGGCCTGAGGAATGATCAGTGTGGCTATTGAAAATACATCTCTTTGACAATGATGTTGACTRTGGATCTGATACTTTCCCATTCAAGTATCTTATTTGGTTACCAGGAAACTCTTCTGACTTACAATCAATGCTTTCGCCACTCTCAGCCTTTCCCACTCCAGACCTAAGCATCAAAGTTCTCTTTGTCTGGAACCTCTTCTCTCCTGCTTGGCCTGCTTACCTTTCAAACCCCACTCACTGGTCCACTGGGAAACCATCCCACAATCTGCTGACCTCCACCCCACCTACCTAGCTCCTCCAACCACTTGCATATGGCCCTCTGGAAGGTACACACCACACTGCATTAGAACTCTCCATTCCAGCTGGGTGCAGTGGTACACACTTGTAACCCCAGCTGTTCAGGAGGCTGAGGCAGGAGGATAATGAGTTCAAAGCCAGGCTCAGCAACACAGTGAGGCCCTAAGCAACTCAGTGAGACCCTGTCTCTAAATAAATCACAATAAAAGGGGTGAGGATGTGGCTTAGTGGTTAAGCAACCCTGGATTCAATCCCYAGTACCCCCMAAAAAACTCTCCATTCCACTAACATCTGTGATGGTTTGGATATGAGGTGTCCCCCAAYAGTTCCTGTGTTAAGACAGAAATGTTCAGAGAAATGACTAGATTATGACAACTATAAACTCATGAGTGGATTAATCCATATGCTGGATTAGTAATCTAAATGGGCCAGGTGGTAACAGTAGGCAGGTGAGGTGTGGCTGGAGAAGATGGGTCACTGGAGAGGTGCCTCTCTCTGCTTCCTGGTGCCATGTCCTTCTGCCATGATGTTCTTGGGCCCTTAAGCAATGGTGACAGCAGACCTCTGAAACTATGAGCTCAAATAAACTTTTCCTCCTCTGAGTTGTTCTCGTCAGGTATTTTGGTCACGGTGATGAAAAGCTGACTTTCACAACCCCCCTTCTACACCAGGAGCTTCTGGAGGGCAAGAATGTGTCTAATTAAACACTTATAAATTTATTACCCAGGTGATCCAGTTTCAGAATGCAGTCCCTGGCTAATGGCCCCCATCCAGAATGGAATATCAAAATCACTCCCGTTCTTTCCTTTCCTTGGCCAAACAACTTGAAAGGACTCAACTTTKTTTGTTTGTTTGTTTTAGTTTTAGGTGGMCACAATATCTTCATTTTATTTTTATGTGGTGCTCAGGATTGAACCCAGGGCCTCATGCACACTAGGCAAGCRCTCTACCACTGAGCCACAACCCCAGCCCCAGGACTCCACTTCTTAAAGGGAAGGGGATGGACATTTCCTCTGAACTTACACTCCACAGTTGCTTTTTAGCCCCTTTCACTTCAAAACTGCCTGAATAGGCCTTCCCTGAAGTCCACCTCCTGTCCTCATTTCTCTCTATCTCTCTCTGTCTCTCTATCTCTCTCTCTATCTCTATCTCTTAATTCCGGACTGCAGGCATCCTACAGAAATGTCTAGCAAAGCCAAACCCTCCTCTCCTCAGAAACCAGACAACAGAGCGGAACAGGCAAAGCCAGACCACCCCCTCTCCCTTGGCAGGAAAAGGAACCAAGTCCTTCTCTGCCCCCAGTGCCCAGCCTGTGGATGTGATCAGTGAATGACAAAATCAAGTGATGCAGTGTCCACCCAATTTTTCAAGCAGAGAAACCCAGGGTCAGAGAGGATCAGGGGTTTTCCCAAAGTGACACAGGAAATTATGACAGAATTTGTTCCCCAAACCTGTGCAGAATGTAACCTCAACCCTAACCCCTCCCACTAGACCAGACCAGCCTCTTTCTCAGCCAGGGCCAGGCGCCCTCTGAGCACGGGCCTGGGGTCCCTCCCTCCCCTTCAGGATGAGAGCTGGAGCCAGGAGTCGTGCCTGCAGATGGGCAGCGCCTACGTCATCGTGTACTCCATCGCAGACCGGGGCAGCTTCGAGAGCGCCTCTGAGCTCCGCATTCAGCTGCGGCGCACACATCGGGCAGACCACGTGCCCATCATCCTCGTGGGCAACAAGGCGGATCTGGCCCGCTGCCGGGAAGTCTCCGTGGAAGGTGAGCCCTCCACCCACCCTCCTCTCTCCCTGGACCCCACTGCCCCTCCTCCATGGCTCTTGCCTGGGGGCTCTTTGCCCTGCCAACCCACCCCCACCCTGCAGCTTCTTGACTGAGCAGAAAACTGCCTCCTCTCTCCCCTGGGAAGAAGTGAGAGACCTCAGGACTTGGTCCTCAAGTCCTGCCAGCCCCCTTGCCTCTCTGCCCCGTCTTGGCATCTCCCCTTGGTCCTAAGCCCCTTGGTCCTCTACTTCTCTAGCCCCTACTCAATCGGTCCTCCTTGCCAGCGGCCAGAGCTTTTGAGAACCAGAATTGACCTCCTCATTTCTTTCCTTTCGAATTTCCCTGTAGCTCCACATGCCCTGAATCAGGGACACCTGATTCACCAGTCAGAGGCCCAGGGCCTACCTGCTTTTGAAGGGCTTATGTTTGAGAAATGACCATTATTGGCTCCAAAATGAAGTGAGAAAATGATAAATTTAAGTTTTCCAAAGCTTTAATTATCTAAAAGGAACATAATATTGTGTCAACCAGCAACTACAAACCAAAACTTTTTAAGTTATCTATCAATTACATTTACAGTGGGATGAGAATATTTTAATGTTTCATATTTCTGGTGGGGCCCATAAAGATCTTAAAATGGCCCTACTTAAAGAATAAAATCTCTAAAAATATGGAAACTGAGACTAAAAAGGAAAAGAAAGCCAATTTCACAAGTCATCAGCCATGAAATACTAGAATTCAGGCCCCTGTCTCACAGCCTAGTGCATCCCAGAGCTGGAAGACCATGTACTTTGTGGACAGGCACCCCCAAAATCCGCAACATTATCCGCAGGAGATTTTGTTAAAACACAGGTTCCCAGACCTCATCCCAAACCTACGGGATCAGAATTCCTGAGGGTGGGCCCAGGAACCTGCCTTTCCACACGCTCCTCCAGGTAATTCTAATGCCCAGGAGATCAGGCCTCAACCTGGCATTCAGCCTGGTCTCAACCTGCTCCTAACCTCCCTGTCCTCCCAGCCTCATTCTGCCATCTGTATCGGTCAGTAGACTGTAAACTAACTCCTCAAAGCCTCACATGATTTATCTCTTAAGTCCCCTGAAACTGCCCTAGGTATGGGCACAGGCAAGATGGCTTCCAGTTGACACTGATCCACCTCTCCCTATCTTTGTCTCCGTCTGCCTGTACGGCTCACCTGACCCCGCCCCTCAGAGGGCCGCGCGTGCGCCGTGGTGTTCGACTGCAAGTTCATCGAGACGTCAGCCACTCTGCAGCACAACGTGGCCGAGCTCTTCGAGGGCGTGGTACGCCAGCTGCGCCTGCGCCGCCGAGACAGCTCCGCCCAGGAGCCCCCTGCACCGCGGAGGAGGGCTAGCCTGGGCCAGCGCGCGCGCCGCTTCCTGGCCCGCCTGACTGCCCGCAGCGCCCGCCGCCGGGCACTCAAGGCCCGCTCCAAGTCCTGCCACAACCTGGCCGTGCTCTGAGACCACCCGCCCTTCTGGAGGTGGAGGGACACTGGGTACATTCTGGCCTCCACCTAAGGCAAAGGTGCAGTTGCATATAGTCCGCATCGAAGGCCTTTCCTATCTGCTGCCCTGATGGCAGAGCTCCGAGGACCCTTCGACCTCAAGGAAGCAGTGGACAGACTATGGGTCCAAAGCCTCACTGGGCACAAAGTAGAGGGTTTTTTTAAGTGGTGGGTATCTTTTGGTAAAAATCTTTCTTGTCCCTGGGCCCTGGGCAAGCCTTAGAAACCCTCCATGATAAACCTGTCCAGAAGGATGCCCTGTCTGAATGCCCAGAACRGCCCTTCTGGACTCTTCCAGGTGTCCCCACCTCCTGCATGCCCATCTACACTGACTGGTTTAGCCTACTGGCCTGGATGTCAATAAAGTCATTGAATCAATTGTGTTCTTAGGCTTTTCTCCCATCCACAGGGTATAGTCCCTGACTCATGTATTTAGGAGAAACACAGTGGATCACAACTAACCACAATTCAGTGTGACCCACTGAATTAGATTATAGAGTTCCAAAACATGATATGGAAGGAATATCGGCACTCATTCTAACAACATAACAGCTGGCGTTTGTGGGAACTGGCTATGTGCTAAGCCATCAGAGATATTAGTGAATATCTGTCCCTCCCCACAATATCCAGAAAGGTGACCATTAACCTGCTTTGACTCTTTAGGAAACTGAGGCACAGGGACAGTAAGGGCTCACACACAGGATCATAGAACTGCTATAAGTGATATTGCCAGGATTCCAAACCAAGCTGGTTCCACTGAGTCTATACCCAAATTATCCACAGTCTTCTTGAAGAACTTGGCAAAATGGGGCCGTTGCAGTGGTGCATGCCTGTAATCCCACCGACTCAGGAGGCTGAGGCAGGAAGATCACAAGTTCAAAGCTAGCCTCAGCAACTTAGCAAGACCCTTGCTATCTCAAAATTAAAAAAAAAAAAAAAAAAAAGGTTGGGGATGTGGCTCAGTGGCTCCTGGGTTCAACTGAGTTCAATCCCCCCAGGCTAAAAAAATAATAATAATAATTTGGGAAAATGGCGATGTTGTTCAGTAGTAGATGCTTTCCTAGCATACAAGAGGCCTGTGGTTCATTCAGGAAAGAAAGAGAAAGGAAGAAAAGAATGGAATAGAAGAGAAATATTGTGGGGAGGGACAGATTTTCAAACACAACTTTGCATGCAATTTAAGGCGGGAATGATCTATGAACATGAAACTCAATCCATTAATCTCCAGGATCCACCCCAATTTATTCCAATTCATGCATTTTCCCAACGTAGAAACTCAAGTCCAGCCAAGGGAAGTGAGCACCTCAGGGTCACCCGGCCAGTGAGGACCCAGGGCCCAGGCTTCCCTTTGCCCGTGAGAGCACAGAGGTAGTGAGGCGGCCAGCCTGCCTAGGGACAGGGTGCATGTTGGGGATCAGGTCAGGATTTCCAGCCAGACGGACAAGAAGGGGTGTCACTGCTTTGAGAGGAGAACGAGATGCTAACGGTTTGGAGGTTTGGACCTTCGTCCCTGCGCCTGACACCCCTGCCCCCAGCCAGCWGCCTGCCCAGACGCCTCAGCCCCGCACGTGGGCCACCACGTTCCAGCCGCCCAGCAGCGAGACCTGGAGAGCGATAACCTCCAGCGGCGCCCCGTCCCCCAAGTCTCGCCAGCGGGTCACTGATGACACCTTTTCCCCCACTCCGACCTCAGCGGGAGGAAGCGAAGAGGAGGAGGGTCTTCCCCCGCTCCAAGCTGTCTCCGGCCTGCGGTCGGGGGAGGGCTCTAGCTGTGGAAAGTTGGCAGAAGCAGCCGGCAGCAGCCGGGAGAGTGGAAAAAATGATATCAAACCCGGAAAAATGCAGGCCGGATGGAGGCCGGAGCYTGCGGAGTCTGCCCGGGGAGGTGAGAGGAGGGGGGAGGAGGGACAGCTCGGTGGCCAGGCTGAGAAAGGAAGAGGGGCCAAGGGAGTTCAAGAGCAGCAGAATACATCAGACACTAGAAAGGCAATATGTCAATCAATGGAAGGGTAACTGATGTGATACAGCAATCTGTATACGGGATAAAATTGGGAGTTCATAACTCATTTGAATAATGTTTTGAACGACCAACAATAAAAAAAATAAAATATTGCCATACTACCAAAAAAAAAAAAAAAAAGAGCAGCTCTAGAAAGCTGAGGAGGGTGGCCCTCCATCCCTCCTTTCTCCATCCATAAATATTTACTGAGGATCTTCTAAGTGCAGGGCACCGTGCCAGGCGCTCAGGAGATGCGGTGAATCCTGAGGAGGGTGCCCGGTGCTCCCTGGAGCTGCCACAGCCTGATAGGGCAAGCAGAAAACAAATACGTGAATGAAATAACCATACACTGATAAGAGACAGGGAATCAGGGTCGTCAGCGAAGGCCCTGAAAAACCAATCCCATCCGGCTCCATTCACAGATGGGGAAACTGAGGCCAGAGGGCGCTGAGCCCAGGCCACTCAGAATGTGGAAGAAATAGCTGAGACCAGGGTGGGATAGGGACAGTATGCAGCCAGCTCTGGCAGGATAACACAATGGTTAAGGGCACCTGCCCTGAACCAGAAGTCCAAGTTCAACCCTCTTCCCCTCCACATCTCTGTGCCTTAGTTTCCCCATCCATAAAATGGGATATGTGATGACAATTGCCTCCCTCAAGGTTCACACGAGGGTCAGATGATTTAAGATATATAAAGTTCTTAAAATAGTTCCCTCACCCAGGAAGTTTCAATAAATGTTGCTTCAGATTTGGGGGGAACCAAGGTTTGTTAAGGGCTTTGTTTTATTTTGTTTCMGGTGCTGGGATTGAACCCAGGGGTGCGCTACCACTGAGCTACATTCTCAGCCTCTTTTTTAAATTTTATTTTGAGACAAGGTCTTACTAAGTTGTCCAGGTTGGCCTCATTTTGAAGACCTGGGAGTCTTCCTGACTATGACATGGAAGGACTTTAGGAAAATCCCTTTCCCTTTGAGCCTCAGTGTTCCCAAATGCCAAATAAAGGGGTTGAATCTGAACTTGTATCATATATTTATGTTCTCACATGTGTATTGGCTGCCTCCCCCACAGTAATGAAATCCACAGGAGGGAAAGGTCCTAAGTGCTGCTGTGTCCCTACCACCCACCACAGTGCCTGGTTCAAAATGGCTGCCCAATAAATATACGTTAAATGGATTAATTAACCAACCTCTCCTGACCTCTCTGATTCTAAGTGTGTGTGAACAAGATGTGGCTGGGAAACCGYGAGGAAATCCATAGTATTCTTCCCAGGGACACAGCTCATTACGGTTTAAAAATTCTTTCTTATCCATCAAAACAAGTAAACAAAAATAGATAATTGTTAAAAGCACTTTCTATATGGTAGTATTGATCCTATGCTACATGCTTCTCATTTCCTCTTTAGCACAACCCTCTACTTAATAGGTACATTTAATAAATGAGCATAGAGAGGCTAAGGGAACCCAAGAAATAGATCCTAGGCCACCCAACAAGGAAGGGCCATCGGTTCAGCTCAGAGTGGTTGTCGAAGCAAGAAGGAATTGCTGTCTTCTTTTTAAATTTGTTTATTTATTTTAATCAGGTATATATGACAGCAGAATGCATTTTGATTCATTGTACACAACTGCAGCACAACTTTTCTTTTCTCTGGTTGTACACAATGTAGTGTCACACCATATTTGCTGTCATACATGTACCTAGGGTAATGATGTCCATCTCATTCCACCATCTTTCCTGCCCCCATACCCCCTCCCCTAAGAATTGTTGTCTTAATTATATGGATTAGGGAGAGGAGATGAATCGTCCTAGCTCAAGGTCAATGCAATAAAAACAGCAAATAGTTGCATCCCTCTTCCTATGTACCAGGTGCTGTTCTGAGTGCTTTTCATAATTTGTTAAAKCCTCAAAACTGATGACTCAACCACCGTATGCCAGTTTTCAGGTGGAAAAACTGGAGCACAAAGAACCTTCGACCCAAAATAGCACCATTAGCACATACATACCAGACCCAGAATTCAGATCAGGGAAATCTAGCCTCTCCGMGTTTAGGGCTCACCTATAGGGCACCGTTTGTTGATAGGACAAACCCAGAGTGGACTGGTACAAGAGGGGAGCAATTTTTGCCGTACCCTGCTCCCTGTGATGGAGGATGGGCAGAGAATAAAAACACTTCAAGAGTCCTGAGCCGCCCACCAGCTGGGACTTTCCACCTTAAAGGGAGGATACTGTTATGGAAAAAAAAATGATAAAAGCTCTGGAAAGATGAATATCTCCCCTGAGGCCCCCCAATCTCTCCAGAGTCCCCCCCCCTTGCTGTGGGGGAGGGTTATGAACTGTGCTAGCCTGGTCCACAGGAGATGAGGGCCACCTGGCTTCCAAGACTCCCCAGCCAGGCTGCTCAGACTCTGGAGGATCATTGGCCTTGGTGGAAAGTTTCAATTTCTCAGCCAGAAGCATGGGATTTCTGCTTGGAGAACCTGAGGAATCCAGTCCAGGCTGCAGCTCCCAGTCCCTGGGTGGTRGGAAACACACGTCTCATTTCACTCACATAGGGACAGACTCATAGCTGTGAAGGAAGGTAAGGAGCACAGAGGTCCCAGATGGCAGACACAGGAATGTCCAAGTCCCTGCCCTGGCCAGGAAGGGAGCCGAAGGGTAAATGAGGGCTAGAAATTTTTTTTTCTGCAAATGCTTTATAAAGATGAAGAATCTCTCAGCTCTGTCATGAGCAAGTGACCTTAGACAAATGAAAATATACAGAGCGAAGAGATTTGGGTAGAATTATCCATGTGGTTGTCTCTATCTCAARACCATTTGAAGATTCTAGTCCAACAGCTTGAAAAAATATACAAGTTTGGTTTCAATTTGAGCACTGTTTCCTTCTGTTCAGTTCAGGGTTCAGTTAAAAATAATACTGATGATGGGCTGGGAGCTTTGGGTTCAGCAATGCGTGCAGTTTCCCCCAGTTCCATCTGGTTCAAGTTCAAGGGTAGGGTGTGTATGGAGGGAGGCTAACATTCCCATGCTTCCTGAATGTGACAAGACATTGGCAGAAAAGCACAGATTTTGGAACTAGAAAAAAACTCATGTTCAATCTGATCTCAGGCACCTCGTTTGGATTCCTTTCCTTCACCTTGAAATGGGAGGTGGGGAGCTGGGTTGTAGCTCAGTGGTAGAGCCCTTGCCTAGTATGTGTGAGGCACTGGGGTCGATCCTTAGCACCACTGAAAAATATAAACAAATAAAAGCATTCTGTCCATCTACAACTACAATAATAATAATAATAATAATAATAATAATAATAATAATAAAAGAAATTGGTAGGAATTCCTATTCCATAGAATTAAAAGGGACTTTTAATATTTAGGAATGCACTACTGTAT